GCTAGCGTTAAAAAGTTTGGATTCTGTTTGAAATCTAAAGGGGAGAGAGGGGAACAAAGAGGGAAAGGAATGAAAAAAAAAACAACCCAAGAGCAGCAACAACTGGGGTAGGAAATTTAATTTATTAATTAAAATAGAAGAAATACAAGTTAATGGGGATTGAAGCTAAGAAACCAAATAAATGAAAGAGAGAGTGCCCAAAAGGGCGGGCATGGCAAAGGGAAGGGATGTGCCTGAGGAGCAGAAGAGCTGAGCAGCGGGCAGGAGGAGATGCCGGGAGCTCAGCTGTCCGCCTGGTCGGAGTGCCACCTCCTCCACGTGCTGCGGAGCCTGGAGACGAGCTGCCCAAAGTGACCATGTGCTGGACGTGGCCTTATTTCCTTCAGGATCTTCAGAGTCTGAAGGGCCAGCGAGGAGACAAACGGACTGGGGTCTTGCTGTGCTCCCTGAAGGCCTGAGAGAACAGAGGAACACATGATGACAGCCGTGTACCTGCAGGGCGCCCGGCCCACTCCAGCCGTTGCCCCCTGCTCTCCCCGCCGGCACGAGGAGCAGGGGACGGGCACAGAGCCTGTTGGCTGCCTCCACATCCCACTCAGCGGCTCACCATCGTAGATGTCCTGTCTCTCAGCCTGCTGCTGATCTGTCAGGTGCTGCCCTAAGAGCCCTGGGGACACATGACTCCGTCAGCGACCCCAGCTGCTCCCTGGGGCGCAGCATCGAGGGCTGGGGACAGGGGAAGCTCAGTCTCGTGGCTCACCGATGAACCTCACGGCCTCCCGCCGCAGGGCTTCCTGGGGGCTCCGTAGGTAGAGCAGACTCTGGCTCAGGTAGTCCTGAGCTGCACGCTTCTTCCTCTTGGCCAGCTGGAGAGGGAAGAGCGTGGGGTCAGCGCAGGGCGGCCCTGACCCTGGCCTGGGGTGTGGGAATGTGCGTACCAGGCACTCGCCGATCTGCCAGAACTGCGCCGTCTGCACCAGGTGCTCCAGCCGCCTCCAGCGCAGGAACCGTGCGGCAGCGAGGAAGGCATTCCGGGAGGCCTGCCAAACAGCTGAGATGGCACCGCAGCCCAAGCAGCAGCAGAGCCCGCGTCCCCCGGAGCCTCTCCGCAGGGAGGATGCAGCAGCAGGGGCTGACGCTGCCACCAACACTCTTGGTGTTTGGGGGGCACCGCGGGGACAGCATCGCCCTCCCCCAAAGGAACGCAGTACCCACCTCGATCACACTCTCTTCCTCATCGTGCAGGTGCAAATACAGCAGGACCAGGCTCCTGTACACCTCCTGCTGCATTGTCTTCTTTTCGTGGCCCTTCGCAAAGCTCAGCATCTTGAAGAAGAGGTCTATGGAGAGCTGCCGCACCGTGCTGGACTCCTGCGGAGGAGGAAGGGAGGATGTCAGTGTCAGCAGCTCCAAGCCCAAGGCGAGCAGGGCCAGCACCACCAAGGAAGCAGGGGCAGAATCTCTGAGCTGACAGGCTGCAGGCAGATCTTGAGGACGACCCCAAAACTGCTCCAAAGCATACAAAGCACTCTGCCCTGCAGAAAGTCTGCCCAGGGCCATGCAGCACCTGGACCTGGTGAGCGGCCAGGAAGTCCCCCAGTGCGCTGTCACAGGGCAGCAGGCATAGGCACACTGGGCTTGTTGCCACATCCCTAGTGTGCGGGGCTCCCCACCATCCTTACATCACATAAGAGCGTTGGCAGCTTGCCGGCCAGCTCCAGAGCCATGAAGCTGGGCTTAAATCCATCCAGGATCTGCAGAAGGCTGCTAAGGATCTGCAGGGACACGGCGCGGACGTCGCTGTCTGCGTCCTGCAGACGATCCATGATGCACGGCAGGAAGAATGGGATTACCCTTGCCTGCAGGAAGAACACCCCATCCTTTAGGTACAGCAGCAAGCACAGTGTGGGCAGAACCACTCCAAGTACCAGCCTCCCTGCTGCCTTGTCAGGTTGGGACTGTGTGCTGCAGGCAGGCCCCGCACAGCCCTGAGGACAGCAGGCAGTGATGGGATGGGCAGAGAGCATGAGCTCCTCCATGCTGAGCTGCAGGTGGCCCCGCTACAGCCCCGGGGCAGGCCCAGCCCAGTCTGCGGCACCTGAGGCATTCCTGGATGCCCCTGCTCACCGTGTCCCGCCTCTTGCTGAGATGTAGCATGCCCCGGAGCACCAGCTGCTGCATGCCCACGCTCTGCCTGTGCAGATAGGTGGTAAAGATTCTCAAGATGCGGCGCAGCTCTGTGCTGACATCCATTCTCTCCAGCATCTGCAACACACGTGGCTCTTAGTGCTGGATCTAACAGTCAGCTTGGGGAAAGACAGTGGGGCACAGCCAAGCCTGGCCCTGAGGGAGGCAGCAGGGCTCGTGCCACCGGGGCCTTGCAGCCCCAAGTTTGCTGCTTCTGCAGCTGTTGCTCACCTCAACGAGGAAGACCATGGCCACCATCTCCCATGAGTAGAAGCTGGTGCTGAGCAGCTCAACCAGATGGTAGAAGATGGGGTCTCGCAGAGCACCGGGCAGTTCCCTCATCACCCTGGCAGGGATAAGAAGGCACCATCAGCCCTGAGCCAGATGGATGCAGCTGTGGCTGTGCAGCCCTCCTGCCAATGCCGCAGGGGCCACAGGCTTTGCTGCTGTGGCAGCACTTT